GATAGAATCCTTCAAAACACCTGGGAAATTCAACAAGTCTCCCAATGCAAGTTTTCCTCTGCATGGCTTCAGTGTGACTCCATTAACCCTGATAGTGAAAACACTCGGGCATCTTCAAAAGAATCCTGCTGCTGCTGCTAAGTCATAATGGCCCTCACCCTCTATCCATGTTTGCATGCTCTTTTAATTTAGTTTGTTTACTTGTTCGTATTTCATTTTGAACATACAAATCTTGTGAGCTGAAATATTTACAACCCGCTGAGTACTCGTATCTTTGTGTCTCTGCAGATTACTGATTACCAGCCTGTAACCATAGACTACTAAAGGTCATCTCAAAGCAACCACACATCTTTATATCTGACATCAATAAATCACCACGGTGAACGACTGGTGCTTTAATATTGCAAGTTTATTTCCAGCAAAGTGCTGTGAATAGTTAGTTTTCAACTGGTAATGCAACATAAAACACATAAATACACTATACAAACTGGATAAATATAAACCAAGATGTAAACATGGAACTTTTTTTTTAAATAAAAGCACATCTCCTTGAACTAAAGCTGCACCGATGTTCAACCTCTGCCACTACAAACATTTTTTAAAACAATAATGTTTCTTTGCAATATTTTTTCACATGTCCCCTTCATCAGTGTCTGAATAATTGTATGAATGTTTACGAAGCATTCACACTACAGTAGTGATCCATTTTACTTACGCAAGTTTTTCGACGTCGTTCTCATCCCGCAGTTTTCAGCTATTTCAGCAATCAAAATCAAAACGTTCAGCTCATTCCCAGAGAACCCTGCTGTGACTTTTGGTGTTGGTGCAACTTTAGCTTTTTGAAATATTTAGCCTTTTCTGCCATTTTATTTCTCTTAGAAAATGAATTGAGCTCATTTTCCATCCTTCAAATCTTTAGATCTGTTTACACCCTTTTACTGCTCCTTTCACATTTTGTTCTTCTTCAGCTGCTTTCAGCTTCTTTGTGCAAATTCAAACACTTTCTTTAGCTATTTTCAGCTATTTCAGCTGTTTTTCAGCTGTTTTGTGCTCCTTTCAGAAAATTTCCTGTAACTAAAACATTTTTGTGCTTCTTCTAACTTCTTTCTGCTAATTTCACCTTGTTATGCTCCTTTCAGCTTTTTTACCTGTTAAGTTTCAGCTTTTTCTGCTATTTCAGATACTGTTTAGCTGTTTTATGCAAATTTTTAGCTTTTTCAGCTAAATCCACTTTTTTTTTTTTTTTTTTTTTTTTTAGCTCATTGCATCTCTATCCACTTCCTTCTGGTAGCTTAAGCTTCTTTCTGCCTTTTTGGCTACTTTCTAGACGTTTTTTTGTTGTTGATAATTTTAGCTTTTTTAGCTGATTTCCATTTTTTTTTTTGCTAATTTCTGCTTATTTAAACCTAAATGGGCTAATCCTAAATAGCCTAATCAGCAAATATGTGTTCATTGTGCTTTCTTCTGCTAATGTAGGCTTGTTATTTCATTTCAGCTATAATTCATCATGTTTTTTTAAGTTAATTTCAGCTGTTTTTCAGCAAGTTCTTCTGTAATAAGTATTCACACTGCATTTTCGCAGAATACATTTTCTCTAGTTAGGAATGTTTTGCAAGCTGATGCAGAATTTTATGTGATGCACGATCATGTTCTTATATTAGCTGTCAATTTTTTTAATTCTTGCTCCAAAGAGGAAATAAAACTTTCATTCCTTCAACCTTCATAATACTTCAGTGATTTAAATACCCGGTATTACCTTTTGTCACAAGTGAATGGAAATAGAAAGCGTCCGTGAGGAGACGTTAGACACCACCTACAGTGTGATGAGATATTGCCAGTCTAAATTTGGTATGAAAGTGCCTCCCTTTTGCATATCACTGTGGAGTGCCGCTGCTTTTGTCCTCCACTGTAATGTCGCTCACACCATGAACCTGTGTGACCTGCTTGCAGTCTAAAGAAGCCAGTAATTTCCTCGGACCAGGAAGGGTTGGGACAAAGTGCTCGGTGAGGGAGACGGTGGCATGACTGCCAATATCTCTGCAGGGAGAACAGGAAATGACAGTGGCGGTCACAAAAGACAAAGATACACCAAGTCAAGCCAATATGATGTATATATGTTTCTGACTCACCCATATTCAATCTTTCGAGCAGGTAGCAGGCCCAGTCCTTCCACATGAAATATCACTGCTTTCAGCAGCTGTGGTAGAGGGTTAGTGAAGGAAATCTCCACGGCCATCTTCTCCCCCACCACGGCCTTCCCGATTGGCTACAAAACAAAATGAAAACAAATAAACGGCAAGAAACGACCCTGGAACCGTCCATTTGGCCCTCATCATTCCCAGCTAAACACAAAACAACTTTAAATGAATCCATTTTAGTAATGATTCTTAAAACAAGTAGAAACAATGACTATAATAATTTTACAACAAAGAAATTCATTCATATTTTGAACTAAAATAGCCCTGTACAGTTTGTTTGTTTGTTTGTTTCTTGGCTTGTTTTAACCAAGGTCAGTAGTTGTAGTGAAAGGAAAGATTTGTCTTTGAGGTATTTTTAATCACAAATGTTAGTTTAGTATGCCAAAAAATGATTGTTGTTTCTCACCTAGTACGCCAACAATGAAATAAATGATCATAATAAGAGAGAGAGGGAGAAAGAAAAATAGTTCTGGAAGTGTTTTCCAAAATATTTGCCTGAAGGAGAGCAACATTTTCTCTGACTCTGTAGTTCTGAAAGATAAAGTGATTTTTTTTTGTAGAATAGATTGGGACACCATGTTGTGCTTGTGCTGCCTTTGGATTTCTTTAACTAAGTCAAAATGGCCACCTGGTAAAAAGAAATGTTGTCTGCCCCCAATATTTTTATAATGATCAGTGTTTCTTACTTTTATGAGAAGGTCTGGGGTCCTGAGTCGGAAGCTGAACTGCGTTGCCAGGACCTGCTGTGTTTCTTGAACCCTCCCTGAGAGGGTCAGCATCAGAGCGGCCTGGTCTGTCAGCTGGTTCTTGTACACTTTGTACTCCACTGACCAATCCAGAAATTTCTCTTTGAATACAGAAGAACAGTTGAACAAAAGAAAAGATGTTAAAATGCCGGTCAGTAAGTTTTAGACACTTGATTAGATGGATGTTGCTTGCAGTCCAACTGTTCTGGTCGTGAATCTCCTCATTTTGAGCAGCTGATTGGATGAAGTGTCTGAGAGCACCTTCACTCACCTTCATTGGACAGAAGTTTCACTTCAGTTTGGTCCTTTTTCACTGTGGCTTTGAGGACTCCAGTGTAGTACATGACTGCCAGCTGGCTGTGCAGCATGACTTTACGCTGCTCTGAGCTGACGTTTTTCAGCTTGATAGTCAACTTGGCATCCCCTCCCATTTTGGGGCCCTCTCCTTCCATTACCACTTCTACAGTGACATCCTCTGCTGTTGGAGACGAGTAGGCCTCTGCTTTGGTGCCGAAGTGACAGGCTGTTTCTACAGCAATGCGTTCCTCCTCTGAGCCTGAAAATGAACAAACATGCACACCATAGAAACTAAATGGGTTGAAAGAGTTTTGATAGGAGCTTTTGAAGTTTTCATTTGATCCTCTGCACTTTGATTTTTACCTTCAGGATATTTGTAAAGGTGTGTGATGTCGCTGCGTTCTTCTGAGCCAACTGCTTTGGTGCTGATGGAGTGGCCCACCGTCTTCTTCTCGCTGTAAAATTGACTAAAGGTGCCATCAGTATTTTTCTGCCAGAAGATTTTATCACTGTTAACCTGCAGATGTACACAGGGCGACCAAGAGAGTAGGAAGAGGGAGACATAATCAGTACACACTTCTCTACCACTCCAGATTCCTTCATATTTCTTCTTCCTAATTCCTTCTTCAACACCTTCTTTGACACATCTCATGTGCTTTTACTAAATCCCCAAAGGCACAATGAAGTTCTTTATGACCCTCTCTGTACTTTTCCATTGTTATCCTCAAAGCAATGATGGCATCTGGGGTTCTCTTTCACAGCATGACACCATACTGTTGCTCACAGATAGTCACCTTTTGTCTAAGTCTAGCTTCCATAACTCTCCCAGATCTTTGTGTGACTCATCGACTTTATTCCCCTGTAGCTGCTTCAACTCTGTACATCACCCTTATTTCTAAAAATGGGCATCAGCACACTTCTTCTCCATTCCTCAGGAATTGTGTCACTCAGAAAAATGCCATTGAATAACTAAGTCATGAAGTAATCAAGTTTCTCTTCACTGCCATTTCTCCTAGACATTTCCAAACATCCACTGGTATGTCATTAGGTTCAGCCGCCTTTCCCTTTTTTATCCTCTTAAAAACTTTCCAAACCTCATCCTCTCTAAACTTTTCCACTTCCTGAACTACAGTTTTTATGAACTATATTCTGTCTCTTTCATTACATTAATTACTTCTTTAAAGTACTCCTTCCATCCCATAACTCTCTTCTCACATGTTAGAACATTACCAATTCTCTCTTTAACAAGTCTAACCTACAGCACATCCTTTCCAGCCTGATCCCTCAGTCTTGCCAGTCAATACAAGTCCTTCTTTCCCTCCTTAGCATCCAGTCATGTCCCAATCTGAAATATTTTATTAAGCTTTGAGAATTTATATTAAGTTTATTTTAAATAAATATGCAATAGCAAACCTCAGCAAACACAAAAGCGCAGTCATGTTTGAGATAGACATGGCCGTTACGGATGGCAGTGAGAGAAGCTGGGCCACAGCGATAAATGCCCTGGCTGGTTTCCTGCGGCGTGGCGTCAACGGCCTGCCATCCTCCATTACCAGGGGGCAAGTCTGGACGAGCCATCCAGCAGTCATTCCACACGTGGAAGTTCCTTTAGATCAAAGGTTATTTTAATGAACAGAAAAGTTTTTACTGTCCTGCAGAACTAAAACAATGTAATTAAAGCAAGTGGACACAAACCAGATAGAGTCTGTGTTAAGGTAGTCTAAAGGGGCTAGGTTCTCATCCAGGTACACGTCTGTTGTCAGGGACACATCTGTATCGTGCGCTGAGCTGAAGTTAGTCACAGTTCGAGCAGGAATGCCCAAACATCGTAAAACTGAAGAAAAAAAAACATCAGCAGTGAAGATTTTTATAACACACGTTTGGCAGATATTTTGGCAAACCATGTGACCATGTCATAAGTCAATCAAACAAACATAAAACAAGTTATTAACTGACTTGTAGTGAAAACTCCAGCAAAGACCCAGCACTGGCCATACTTCACCGGGGAGCCATTGTTTCTATGATACTCCTGCAGGATTTCCACACTGCCATTCCAAAATGTTGGAGAAGTTCCCTTTGAATAGTCTCCTGACCAGTTTCCCTCCAACACACCCAGATCGTCCGGAGAGTTAACCTGGAAAAATGATTTTATAGCATTATTCATTCATTAGGAGTTGTGCACTCAGCTTCTAGGAGTCACACAGTTTATTTTTTTATGTTTTTAATCAAATTCATACAGATGGCTACAAAGATGTAGAGTTTATGGTCAAGTTGTTATTTTTATTATTAGGCATGAAAACAAGAAGTAGGTTTGAACGAGTCAAGGTAAGTGATGAAGTTCTACTGACGAGTTCCATAAAATATGTGGAATATTAAAGAAGTAATTCAAACTTGTGTGCCCAGTTCTGGTTTTTAAAAACAGTTGAAGTTTTATGTTGTGTAATTTATTCACCCTGACAAAAATTTTAAAAAAAATAATAATAATTGAAAAAATAATTAAAAGCCCTAAAATTAATAAAAAATAATTCCTGTTCATGGTTGTATGTAAACTTCTGACCATAACTGTATAAGAACATTCAAACACCGAAGGTGCTAAGACTTTATATTCAGACCTCATGAATGTATGTAAAAAACAACAACAACAAAAATTAGAAGATTTATGAAAGATGCCTGGAGCAGCTGGGTGAAGAAAGCTGATGTCATCAGACTCTATAAACTCATGAGAGAGCTGGTTCAGTTCTGGGAGTGGACCTGCAGTCTCTGACAGAGGAGTCTGAGCAGAGGATGTTGAGGAACCTGCTCCAGATCCTGAACAACACGTCACCCCCCCTGCATGACACCCTGGACCCTGACCACAGCACCTTCAGTCCTAGACTGAGACCACCGAGGTGCTCCCAGAACACCACAGGAAGTCCTTCCTCTCTGGGGCTGTCGAACTTTTCAATTCCTCCCCCTTTCTACACATAGGACAATAAAATGAATCCTGCAGCACAATAAACTCTTTAATGTTTCTGTCTGCACCGGTTTAGAACCTAACTGATGGTATTTTTATATTCTCTTTTATTTTTGATATCTTGTGTGATTCCCTGTGTATGTTCCTTTGTACTGAAGCTCTGGCACAACAATTTCCTGCAGGATCAATAAAGTTCTATCGTATCTTATCTTAAAAATAAGTGTAAATAAGCACCCACATCAGGTATTGGTTTGAATAAAAACAGGTTTTCCAGGGTGTGAAGAGAGCGTAATGTTTGAGTGCTCATTGCAAATTGCAGAGAACTTCACATTATTATGTCATGAAGCGAGCACACTGTCTGCTGCTGTGACAAAACTACTTCCCTCAGGTAGTGTCTGTAGATAGTCAATAGTCAATGGTGTTTAGATGATATAAAACATTAAGAGAACCAAGTAAAACCTTTCAACATAAGGGACAAGGTTAAAAAGTTTGGATCTTTGGTCTCTCGGGGAACACTGCTGTAAAACATAATCTGTATCTAAAATCACTTACTGGGCTCAGAAACACGTCTGACGACCAGTGTAGGCAAAGTTCACCGTTATTTACACAAGAAAACCTCTGCCCCATAAAGAACAGGACCAAAAAACATATTTATATTGTTTCAGTATTTTTATCTTTAAATGGGGTAAATTACCTTTTTTGTTTAAAGGTTTTTCAGTTCCTTATCTGCTTACCTCTGATGTATCTGCTATTGGTTTCTTTTGGACTTGTGTTGTATTAATGCACAAAAGAACCCAAAGAAGACTGATTAGTTTAATGTTTTGAAAGAAGTTGCCCTGTGGGCCCACTTCAAGTTATATAGAAAAGTGGTTTAGGCAGGGAAACGTAGTCTGAAAGATGTGAAAACAACAGGCTGCTCTCTCACCATGGCTGAGATGATCCGCACCACATTCACTGGGTCTCCCCAACCAGAGTTGGGAGTTTTACTCTTTTCCAGCACAAAGAGACAAGCAGCAAAAATCTTGTCATTAAACTGAAAGCAAAAGAGCGTAAATTTGTTGAGCTGGCCTGTCAGTTCCTGGAGGGTTGTTCCATCAAACACAGAGCAATCGCACAGCTCTGACCTGACCATAGTTCCATGTCCTCTCTCCAATCTGGTTCTCAGTGCCGTAGTAGATCCTTCCAACATCATTAAGGACATACTCCTGTCTCTCCTCCTCAGAATCCAGGAAGATCAGGTCATCTTGTGGAGACAGAGAAAAGGATACATCTTGTTACAAGAAGTCAACATCTAAATCTAAAAAAACAAATGGGAAATTGACTCATTTTGTTAGAAAAGTTTTCCAGTGAATAATATTTTAAATCTGGTTATTTAACCCAATATGTTGCAAAAGAAGCTTTTTACATACAATGACATGGTCAAGATTTATTTTTGATCCATAACTTGTGACTAAACCATTAAAGCATCCTCATACAAGTTGATAGTACTACAATATGTATAAAAAATAGTACTTGTATGGTATTTGCAGAGACATGGTGAGGCATTGCAAGTGATAGAACTCTGATGGTCCACGATAAGGAGGTATTATACATTAGCTTGACCCATAGATTGTTCATCACAAGGGTCAGACTTTAACCCCAGTAACAATCACTGGTATGTGATGAAGAAAACACTCCCACCGTCAGGGATTAAAATCAATGCAACTCTCTAAATAAATCCATTTTGTGACATTTCTTAGGGTCATCTTCATCAAACTAAGCCACAAAGAATGTTTGGTATAATAAAGTAAACAATATCAAACAAGCAAATAAACCAGAAGTGATGGTTCCTGGTATGGGGGCTGATCTCTATAAAAATTGTTTCAACTTCAATACTTTCAAACTTTAAATTGAATTCATTTGTCCTTTTTCATACAATTTTCTGTTTGTTTGAGTAAAAACATTTTTATATGAACATGTCTGGGTTTAGTATGCATTAAAGAGACATATAGAAATAGATCTTTGTTTACACTGGCTGCAAAATGCTCCATAGCTGAAAATCCATTCTGCCTCTGTTGGATTATGGAGACATACATAATTTGTAGACATGCTTGTAAGGGTGTCCTTTGTAAGCTGGACACAATTTATCACTCTGCTGTTGCCCCCCCCCCCCCCCCCCTCACACACACACACACACATTTTTTTTAATAAAGTAGATGTTGTTTCCTGTATTCCGGTGTATTTTAAGTGGTTGTTAAACATCTAAGTTTACCTACATAAGTAAACACTTGATTCAATAAGTATTTTAGAGAAGCACAAGAAGTAGCCTGACCAACAGCCCTCCTTGTGTGAATAGAGGACGCTCCACTTCTCTCACGCATCCTCACACCTGCTCCAATATATCCATTGCCACTGCTTTCACATGCTTCAATGCTTGGTTGTTTAGTTGTACGAGAAGACTTTTTTAAAGAAAGTAAGTTGGACTGTCTTTTTGAACTTTTGACCGTTGTTATTTTGACAAATTGGTGCTGTTGTTTTGATATGTGATGTATGTATTGTGATTACCCATCAAACATTCCTCTCATATTTTTAATTAAATAATCAAAATGTTATTAATGATTCAAACTGTAAAACTGATTTGCAGTTTAGTTGTGCTGTTTAATTTTATTTTTGTGTTTATAATTAAATTGTCCATGACTGAACTTTTAGGGACGGAGATTTCTTTAAGGGAAGGAGCAGAAATGCTTACTTGAAGGAGCAGCTCTGATGTGATATTAGGAAGCTCAAAAATGGCTGTTACATTTTAAATGAATGTTTATGTAATTATTTTCAGATGACATGTCCAATATAAGTTTAATTCATTCAAGGCAGTCAAATTTGTTCATAACATTATTATTAGTAAGCCTGAAAGTTACCAAATCCAATTCTGACAGGATCCGGCTCAAACTCAGCACTGGTTGTCACCTCTACCCTCTTGTTATGGTAAATGACCTTTTACTCATTGCAAAATTCATTGGTTCACCCTCATTTATACGATGTTGCTGGTTATTCACCTCCATATCACACCCACATCACACCCCCTGCATGCCACACTGGACTCATCCCGCAGCGCATTCAGTCGTAGACTGAGACCATCGAGGTGCTCCACAGAACAACATAGGAAGTCCTTCATCCCTGGGGCTATCAAACTTTTCAACTCCTCCCCTTTTCTACACATAGGACAATAAAACTAATCCTGCTCTATAATAAACAATTTAATGTTTCTGTCTGCACCTGACCTGTTTATTTTATATATATATATATCATGTGATTCCTTGTGTATGTTCCTTTGTACTGAAACTCTGGCACAACAATTTTCTCCGGGATCCATAAAGTTTTATCTTATCTTATCCTATCCTATATTTAACTCATCTACTGAAACTAGCAGCTGTTTCAAAGTAGACCAGCCGATCCTCTCAGTGTTTGTGGTTAACAACTCTGTCTGGATTTGCTTCTGCTGCTCCATCTGACTGGAAGCTGCTTCAAAAACTTTGGATCTGACCTCACTTGTCTCAGTTTCTAGTTTTAAAAATTGTTTAAAAGCCATTTTTAAACATACTTGCAAATGTTTTCAAGCTTAATAATGTTGTCATTTTACTTTGACAATGAACTGTTGTTTATGTAATTTGTGTTTCCTTGTTGATGACTTCTATATCCCATGGTTGTGTCTTACTTCCCTTCCCTTGACCCTACAGGTACTGTTGGTGCTGCCAGGCCAGCTCTGTAAATAAGATATTACTGTTCATGCCTGAAGGTGAAATGAAAATGAAAATTACTGTTGAGCAGATACCACATCATGCATATTATAAAAAGAAAATTTTATCTCCTACTTATCTGTTCAGATATGAGGGTGAGGAGATGCAAAACTACTTAGATATATTGTACTATACAAGCACTTCGCAGGTCTACAATGCATGTGGTTCAATGGTTTATTTATTTTATTGTTCAGAAAAAGATGAGAAAAAGGTTTCACTGGACAAAAAGGCCTAATATTCGGGGAGATACAACAGTATGCAAGTTTACGTATCTGCCACATATCCAATATGTTTCCGGTGCTATACGGGGAG